AACGAAAGGAAACGAAGAAAGGAAGGAAGGAAGGAAGGAAGGAAGGAAGGAAGGAAGAAACGAAAGGAGGAAGAATAATATGGAAGGGAAGAAAAGGAAAAGACCTTACCTGACTAGCAATGTCGGCGCAGGTGCGAGACAGAAGGCTGAAGCGTTCCGTGACTGCGGAGATATCGACGCGAATCGTACCCAGGGCAGCCTCGTGCTTGGCGATTCTACCGCCAAGATTTTGAATTCCTCTACCAACTGCGGCGATGTCTCCCTTCAACAAAGCGAGCTCGCCTTTCATCCTGGACCTCTCCGCCAGCTCCTCGCTGACGTTTCTAGTTCGGAGAACATCGGCAACTTCTCCCTGAAGCTCGGACACCGCGCTTCCCAACCATCTGACTCGCAGTCTCTCGTTTTTCGCCTCGTTCCCGTTCCCACCGCGAAGCGCGTTCACTTCTTTTCTAAGGGCGCAGGAAAAATTGATCATCGCTACTTTTCCCTCTTTCAGCCGACGTTGGAACATTGGTGAAAAAATATTCTTTCCCGAAAGTATTCACGCGCGGTCGTTTCAACGAGAACAGAAAGACACTCTCTTACCTGAGTTGTTTCACCTCGTTCTTTAGGACGAACAACTCGGTATTTTTTTCCATGGTGCGTTTCAAGCTTTCTTCCAGGGCATTGTAATCCTGCTGCCTGTGGTCCAGAAGCGCGTTTACCTGTTCCTGTAACGATCGTATCGCATCCGATATGTTTTCGTCGGCGTACATTTCTCCGACCGCGACTGCGAGGAGAAACGTTAGACGAAATAACCGCGTTCCCCCGTTCATGTTTAACGATACGAACGGGAAACAAGTTGGCTGTCCGCTTTATCGGACTGGCGTGTCCGTCTATCGATGCGTTACCGTTCAAAATTCACCGCAAACCTGATTCGCCCGTACCCGACACACTCGGCGCGCGATCTTCCAACGCCGAAAGCTCACTGACGCGAGCACATGCCGGCCCACCAGTTTTATATCGTCCCTGTACTTTCCGTAAATGGTCGGGGGTAAATGGGCTGCCGGGCCGAGTCGGGTCAGCCGACGCAAACTAAAGAAGAGGAGAGAGCAGGTGTGTGTTTGGTAACGCGCATTGTCTCATGCCTACAGCTACGCGTTCCCGACACCGACGCTATCTTACGCGATACTTGCGATGCCTTGGATTTGCTTCATTTCTTCCGTTTGAAATTCGGGAAATTGCGATCGAGAATGCACAGAGAAAACTCCTGGTCCGAGTAAGATCAATAATTTATTGAAAACAGCTTGTTCCCTGACAAGATCTAAGATTCTAGGATACTAAGGAAGTACTGGTACCGGTTTGTGTTTGTCCACGACATTGCACGCAGAGGATGTACAGTAATCGTCATCCGAGTTGTGATCGCGATGCAGAACATTCGAACTGTTTCAGTTTTCGCAGATTCGAGACTAAACGGAAACGGTAAATAAATCGTATTTATTTTCAAGGAGGAAAAAAGAAATTTCCCGGTGTCCGGAATGCAGCAGAATTACAATGTAACGTGGAACACGGGGATCGGGATTCGGATTGGGATCGCAATCGCAATCGCGATCACAACGTTTCTTCTACTTTTCGAGTAGACGACCGATGCAACAACGATATTCTTACATCTAATCGAATCAAATGTTCTGTACAGAAATAATAAAAATACACTTTTTCGAATTCAACATACGTCTTCTACGTGTATATTCGTTCGTATATAATAGTTCCTTCTAATATCGAGGTATCGCGCGATACGCTATTAAATGGCACTCTCTTGAATTGCGCGAATCGTGCGTCTAGAGCATATCTGGTAAGACTGTTGTCGCGAGACTGTACGCGACCTCGTTCGGGGGCAGAGCTTAGGTTTGCGCCGACCCGTACGTTCCCGTCGGCGGACGATACAGTTTGGGAAGCGTCAGAATTTGCAAACTGTTGAACGCATACTTTCGAATCCCGATATTTTTCCAGGTATTTTCTCGACGACACCCTTCGCTGAAACAAACAAACGAGACGACGTTTCCAACATTGTTTTCCGCGTGCGTTACGCAACGTCGAATCCAACAGCCTCGGCTCGAGGGAGCAACCAACCTTCGGATACAGTCGAGAGCTCGGGTAAATTCGTGCTCGGCCAAATGGTATTCGCTGGTCAGGATGTTCACTTGTTCGAGGGTGACCGACATGCCGGTGCGATCCTTGGCACTTTTGCAACTGGTAAATCGAAGTCCGCGCATCCTTCGGCAAATTTGGGAAGACAATTGCAAGATTTCTACGTTCTTGTTCACTTTAGCCTGGACGCTCGCCTTTAGATTGGTCATCAGCTCCGCCAATGTTTGACCGAGCGGCGATCTCGTGCCAACTGCGGAGAGAAAGGGCATGAAAATCGCGGATCGGAGCGCGATCCATGAGACCGTACAGGAAGAAAAGTGTACATCTTACGTCGCGTCGATGCCGTCTCCGTGGGCAAATTCAGCTTCTTGAATCGTAAATAGTATTCGTTCAACCTTTCGAAATTGTCCATGTTACTCTTCTCTTGTGGCTTCGTGGTCCCTAGGCTCTCCGCCAAAGAAGCCATTTCGTTTATTCCGACGTTGAAAAAGACTGGAGTGACGTTGAACGAGATAGTCTGCCTGGTGGAAGGAACCAGTGGCAGCAAAGAATAGATGGCGTCCGGCACGGGAAGCATCACCGTCAATGCGGCGCGCGAGCCTACCACCCTCGGCAGGGGTAGTTGAACCAACGGAACGTTACCGTTATCTTCGAGCCTATCGACGAAGTCGGACAGCAAAGTACGACGGTATACGTAAAAGGAACACTCTCCTAATATTATAATACGTGTACGCATACCTCGACTGAACACCGCATCTGGTCAACGTGAAGGTGACGGTGTGCATATCTTCGACCGCGACGGTCATGTCTCCCCACATGTCTATCTCGTCCCCGTAATAACTGAGAAGTCCTTCGAACGAGACCAAAGGGCCGAGAGTCGTTAAAATCAAGAGAAACATGGGATCGGGTCTTTGACACCAAAGCTTCGCCATTATTCCCGACACCAGGCTGGTCAACTGAAAACGCGAAGCGATCAGAGAACTCGTTCGGAAAGCAAGTTTCAGACAACTTACCGCTTGACTGAAACACACGTCCCGCCTGTATCGAACGTTGCAGGCGCGCTGAGCCATCTTTGCGTCCTCTTGCACTCTGAACACCGAATGCGTTAATCTGGCGGTCTTCAACAGTCCGTCCATAGCCTGACGTAGTTTCTTCATGCTCGGTCTCAGCTCGCTCGTCCAATCGACGATCGAGGCGAAATCGAGACCCTCGATGAATTTATTCCTCTGGCCAGAGTTACTTTTGATTACTCTGGTCATCGAATCGACCGCTTGGCACACTTTCGATTGCAAACGCACACGGAAAAGAATAAGAAGCGGTAAGGATCGGGTTGGACATGGCTGAAGCTAATTCAACCGACAGTACACGCTTACGATACGCTTCGTTTCTTACCTTCTTTGGCTTTTGAGAAAGCTGGTGCTGTTCTCTCGAATCCAGGACTGGAATGTTGACGCGCGACTGCGTGATTTTCCACGGATTCGAGAAGTTTACTCGACTCTTCGTTCCTGATGTCGTTCTTCGGCTGAATCGTAACTACCTCCAAACTTTGATTTCGATTATTCGGATGGCATCCTTTCAAACTATGCGATCTCTTTAGAACCGTTCTGTTTCTCAAACGTACAGCGGGGCTGCTGCATCTACCGCAAAGAAATTTCACTTTCGATACCAGGCACATTACACTCGCTTCTATGTTTAGTTGCGTTAGATCCCAAGGTTCCGGTTCGTCGGTCGGTTTATAATAATTTGCGGAGGGTGAATTACACATCTTCTGGGTGTCTAAAAATCGTTTACACGGATCGATATCGCCTTTCGTTTCCTCTCTCTCCCCGCTGTTCTCGACTGTATCGGATACCGCGCGATTCGAATCAGCGTTCGATAATGCTTTTTCGCGAACATTCTCATTCTTGACATCATTCCTGATGCTATTGTCCACATCGTTTTCATTGTCGTTTTCATCGTCGTTGTCGTTGTCGTTGTTGTCGTCGTTGTCGCCGTTTTCGTTGTCGTTGTCGTCGTTGTCGCCGTTTTCGTTGTCGTTGTCGTTGTTGTCGTTGCCACTGCGATTTTCGGTAGTCAAAGAATGAGAAACGTCGATTGCACTTCGATTCGTTCCTACGTACATTCCCATTTCTGTATTTTTGTGGACACTGTCTTCAACGATCGGAAAAGCGACAAGTTTCTCTTTGGCTGTGACGACGTGATTGCTCTTCGAGAGAAACAAAGTCGGGTAATTATTCTTCTCGTTTTCGTTCGTCCAGAGATCTTTGAGGCATTCCGGGGTATCGGGTGTGACGAAATCATCGAAATCCGGACTTTTCAAGTCGAAATTCAACTGCTGAGTAATCCGTTTGAACGGGGATAAAGACTGATTGGCTTTCAACTGAAAATTAAGCACGTCCTCGGTAGTGTCTTCGTGAACCTTGGCAACTTTGTACTCCTCGAGAAACGTCAACGCTTCTTCCACCAAACCAGGGTCCCAGAGACTAAGCAGGATTCTGGTTTTCGTAATCATGTCTTCGCAAATTGGTAACATTCCACTAGTTTGTTTTTCTTTCGCCAGCTTCATCAGAGCACGCATAGCGTCAACGACGTCGCGGCGGAGCTGCTTGATCGCCTGAATGGCGTCGTGTGCCATTATAATTTTGGAGGTCCCTTGATACAAATGAGTGCCGCGCGTCGGTGATTCTTTCAGGGCTTGAACCAACCTAAAGTCAACATTTTGTTCATTCTCATTTCGATTTCGATTTCGATTTCGATTTCGATTGCGACTGCGACCTGCGATTGTAACTAAATAACCTTCGTTTGTTTACCTTATGAGTCCTCCGTTTTTGCTCTTGTGCGAATGCGCGGTAAACGCCCCAACCGTTATGAGGTCGTAAAATCCGCACTTATTCAAGGTATCGTTGTGAACCCACATTCTTTGGAGATGAAGATTGAGCGGCGCAAACTCGAGTGCCCTGTCATCTTTGCGCGACGACCGTTTAAAATAACTTCCTGAAAAAGAAAAAGCGACGAGTAACGAACGTGCAACGAGAAAAAGAATTCGAAAGCGTTTCAAGAGTTTCGCGACACACTCGTAAAACACACTGTCACCTTTAAAGGTCGATAAATTCTCTTTCGCCTGGGAATAGAGATGTAAAAGATGTAGATGACGATCGAGCAATTCGATTTGCTTGGTGTGCCAGGGTTCTCGCAATTCACCCATTCCGGCAACCTCTTGCAGCAATTCCTTCTCTTCTTGAATCCAAATTGCACTACGGACAGATGCGTTATTATCATTGGTATCGGATTCGCGTGTCGCAAAGGTGGAGGCAACCGCGCGTGGTGGACGAATAGACGTAGAAACGTAGAAAGTAGCCAAGACTGGGGAGCACACGCGAGGGAGTGAGGGATAGAAATGTTTGGCGTGCTTACTCACAGTAAATGCTGAGGAAATTGAAAACAAAGTTTACTTTCGGTCATAATCTCGTGGACGCAGATGTCACCGCCCAAGCCAGAATGAAATCTGAAACGATGAGACTGCCATTGACGCTGGCCGAACCATTCGAACGAGATACAACGATATAATTGTAAATACGAGGTCGACACGATGTCGGGCAATGTACCTGTACGTCTGTACGTAGGGGTTTGCGAAAAAGAGCTTCAGCTGGCCTTGATGCGGCAATTTGATTTTCGTTCCGAGGCGAGGGGGCAACGACTGGGAACGTCTGTGCGCGAGTATCTGCCGAATCAATGAGAATAACGATAAACTATAACGATACAGATGGAAATCGAGCGATAGCCGAACCGCGAGCGCGCGACGGCTCGAATGCGGCCACGTTCCACGCGTACCTGCTGGTTCGGGCCGCATGTGGATTCTTTCGACGGAGTGCTCTCGGTACTGTTGCCTTTGTCTTCCGCTTCGAGATTCCACGCGTTGATGGTCAAAAAGCCGACGGTGGTTGTTTTCGCAGACTTTAACGGTATCCTCAATCTATAACGATTCGATCGCTAGTCAGAGACGCGACAGCTCGACGAACGTCGCAGCAAAGAGCAAAAAACAAGCATTCGTGAAACAAGAGTGATTCAAAGTACCTGGGAGTGTCTTGGATCGCGTTCAGAGTGATGATAACGCTTCCAATCGGCGTGGCCGTTTGACTCACTCTCTCCCTGACGTCGTACGCTGTTATCCTTACTTTTGTCTCGGTGTTTAGACCGTCGCTAACCCGGAAACTAACGGTCGTTAGGAAACCAGGATTGCTGCTTCGCTGCGAGAAAGGGCAAAATGGGTGAAATTGATTTGTCGGTCGAACCCGTGGCGAATCGGATAGAACCTTACCTCCATAACTTCTGTTCGCGCGTACTTGATCCAGGTTTTCGATCCCTTCGGCTGAACGTCTATCTCCAGCACGGGATTTGGGGGCCGACCGTGTCCGTCGCAGAGGAGATTATCGCACGTCAACGATATCTCGCACATCGGTATTTCGGCAGGATCTGGAACGGGAAAGAAGGATCTGAAGGCAAATCGTGACATTATCTTGAACGCCTGGATTGGAAATGGAAGATGCTAACGAGAAAATGCGGGAGGAGGAACGCGAGCGAGCGTACCCGTCGTGATCCCGCGTTGCAACCGTAGCATTTGAATGTCCGTGTCGTGTTTGTGCCCGCTAAACGCTTCTATTCGCTGTCGCAACGCCAACAACTGACTCCGCATACACTCGTAGCTGGCCAACTGAAGCGCCTGCAACCAACTGTCCCGCTCTTCGGCCGAATTTGCGCCCAACGCTTGGAACAGACCTCCGTCGAATACTGGAACGTAACAAACCATATTAAGAGAAAGAAGAAGAGGAAAACAGTAGAGTAACTTACCTATGCTGAACCCATACGGAATCTGGTTGCTCGGTTGTTCCACCCGTACGAAGCATTGTTCGAGTATTATCACTCCCAAAGGTTCCGACCATTGCTCCCGCGATTTGAAATAAAACAATAGGTTTCCTCGCAATCTGCACCATCTCTCGAAACTGACTATCCAACAGAGAACAACGTTGTCGTTATGTTCGCTCGACTGCGTCGCCACGGAACGCGAGAACTTTTGTCAAGTCTTGACAATGAAAATATAGAAAATGTAGAAAATATAGAAAATATAGAAAATATAGAAAATATAGAAAATATAGAAAATATAGAAAATATAGAAAAGCGAAAAAGATTGGACTCTACCTCTTAGGTCCTCGGTGACGAGAGAAAGAAAGAAAAGGACGGTCGAACAGGAGAGGAAGAAGAAACTGGGAAGGAACAAGATTCGCGTCGCGCGACAAACGCATTTACGCGGATACGCAACCGAGATATACCCGAGCAGATGTTTCTTCTCTTTATCCAAACATACAATTTCATTCGGATTTCTCCAAGATCTCTAATGTGCACAGTTCTAGAGAAAATGGCGAAAAGATCAAAATTAACTGAACCAACAGATAGATATATAAATAAATAAATAAATAAATAATAGACGAATATAAATCATGCGAAGCGTACAGCTTTGTTTTTATTTTGATCATTTCATTTGATTTGGTAATTTTATCGATTCGCTTACGTTCCTTCGTAGCGTGCACGCGCGTCGAGCGTTTCGCAACTGGATAGCTGCGAATACGCTACGCGACAATGAATTTTCGGTACGGTTGCAGTTCCGCGTGGCGAAAGATACAATGGAGTGTGGATCTGGACGGGACACGACCGAACCGGAGAAGGCAGGACAAAATGCGACAACTGTAAAAGCAGGCAGTCGTGCAGCCAGTCGGGCAAGCAAGCAGGCAGCAAGCGATCAGGCAGGAAGGAACAAACTTTTCGCGAAATGGGAGAACAGAGCGACAAACTTTTACAGATCATTATTCCAAGATGGCTTTATTCGAGAAAACCGAGGCCTGCAAAGGAGAAACGAATAGGAAGGGAGAGAGAGGGGATTTTAGAAGAAAAACGGGAAACGCATTTGAAAGCACCGAGCGATATTTCGATACATCGTTGCTCACGAGTTGAACGTAGCTTTCTCAGCTCGGTTTGCAGCGTCAAGCGTGTTAATCGCGATAAATCGAGTTAAGACAGCAAGGAAACGATTTTGGGAAAAAAAGAAACAAAAAACTCGATTATACCTTTACTCGTACTGGCAGTAACACAACTGAAGTCTCGGAGTGTCTTATGCGTTTTTCCCTTTTGAAATTTGTTGTCAGATTTTTTACCTGTACCTGGAAATTATACGTAGCTACAGGTATCTTATAATTTGTCCAAGAATTTGCAGCGACAGCAATGTTCTGAGCGTGCGCTAGCGGCATCAACGTTCCATCGTCTACGATACTTACTATTTAGCGTTTCTTTACGCGCTGCTACCTCGAAACGCTACCTCGAAACGCTACCTCGAAACGCTACCTCGAACGATCAACGATCATTTAATCGCACACGCAAACGAAACGCTATGCCGATCACCGATACACGTTTAGGCTGAATTCGCAAACTTTTACACCGCTGCGTACCCGTTTGCCTTCGATCTTTAATCGCGACGTGAACGGGCTCTGTTTTATCGAGCTCTCGGATTTGAAAATGGGAATGGTCGATAAGAATGTTGATGCATGGCTCGACGAGCGGGGATGAGGCGCATTCGTAGCGGGATGCGAAACCAAATGAAACGAAATGAAACGGAATGAAAGGAAATGAAACGGAACGATTGAAAAGTTTACACAAGCTGTGGCGCAAGATTCGGCAACCACGGCACTCCTGAACAAGAGAACCTACGAGAACCGCTCGAAACGATGCGACTCGACGACATTCGGCCAAGTAACGCGAGTACGTCGGAAAGGAAAGAAGAGAGCGCCTGATTCGCGACGGGACTAGCAACTGCCGGATATAAATACAAACTACGCGAGGACGAATCCTTCGGCAGACTGAAACTCGTCGCTTCCAACGATCCATGCATCGCCGCGTGTCCCGACCCGTCCAGAACCCTCGGGACACTATGCAACATCCAGAATTCCATCGTTTCGCTCGTCGCGCGTCCCCAAGACTCCTTTCCGATATTCCATTCGATACTCGATCTTCGAGGAAACGACAGTTTCACGGTAAAAAGGATCGCAAAGCAAAGATGACGAGAACGATAACGGTCTTGCGGACAATAAAGTGACGACAGCTGAGAATGTACACAAAGATAAGCGACGTACAATGTTCACGATGCCTACTTACACTCACTAGGAACAAATACAAAGAGAGAGAAAGAGAGAGAAAGAGAGAGAGAAAAGGAAGAGAAAGAGAAATGACGGTAATAGCGATACTTGATTCGGGATGTTGCGTAGCTACGATACCCTGCACTTAATCGTAGAGTCCCACGATGTCGACAAATTCTTCGTACACGAAAGATAGAATAAAATTTGATTGATCGACGCCAACTCGGAGCGTCAGTGACCGTCGTCGTACTCGTCGTTTCGTTAAACGTTCCGGCTCGGACGCCGGGAGCAAACCGTAATCGTGTCGCGAATACAACGATACGGACGAGCGTCGGCTAAACAGTGAGAATCTCAAAGTCCGAGTCGCGCGAATAGACGAGCCTCGCGCTTTGGAAATAGATGATGGGCTCTACATTAAACAAAAGACGAAGAATTTGCGTATCACGTGAATTTATTTTCAAGGATTAGACATGTACAATGTAAATGAAGGAGAAAAACATGCGTCTGTTTACGGCCTGAACGGCAAAATACATGTGTGTACGTCGAATCGGTTTTCTAATCGAGTAAGAAGAACGATCGGTCACGCTAGAATCATTCGCATTTGCCAACAATTGATCACTCACTCTCAGTTCTGCGAAAGAAGCCTTCTTGTCGCTCGCGCACGTACAATATACCCTCCTTCTCGAATTTCTGTGAAGGTTGCGTAGCCAGAGTGAGCAGTTCTTGCTTGTTGAATCGCATCTCGGAATTCGAAACACGGTCCTCGATTCAGGTTCAGGTTCAGGTCCCGGTCCCCGGTTCCCGGTTCCCGGTTCCCGCTGACCGTTCACCGTTCACCATTCACCCTTGCAATTTCACCCAGCTTACCCGTAATAATTCACGTTACGTACGCTTCGTTATCCTCATCTGTTGACAAGCGGATCGTTAGCCACCAATATTTTCGATTCTCCGACTTTTCCATCGATACGACGCATACGCGACGAACGAGACGCAATTCGATTTTCGCCACTAAATCGAACAGTTGTATCGCATCGTGTCGAGTCGAGTCGAGTCGAGTCGAGTCGAGTCGAGACGAGACGAGTCGTATCGTATCGTATCGTATCGTATCGTATCCGTCGCACGAACGATATTCCTAACCTATCGGTTTCTATCCGTCCTGCGCTACGCACAACCACCGTACGCTCCATCACTTTCGTTTCGTACCTTCCTTTCTCCTTCGGCCGACACTTTGAAATCTCTCATTCGTCATTCCCCATCGCCACCGCCCAACACGGTCCGCCCTTTTCAATTTTTTCGCTTAGTCATGTCTCGTCGAATGGAAACGACGCGCGCACTAATTTTTCCTTCGGATCGTCAACGAAACGGATACGACAAGAGCCAAGAGAAAAGAAGGTAACCGACGGATTGGTTGTGTCCAAGTGAAATTTATATGGTAGTTCTTCGAGACCAACCTCCGTGGACAAAGAATCGTACAATGTCCGTTTGGTAACCATGTTTACCCAGTTTCTTTCCTTCCTGTTTTGCAGCTCGTTCGACTAGTCTTGAAGAACGGTGTCGTCGTCGAGACGAGAAACCCTACGCGAGAGCAACGTTGATGCGCCGCGTTAGAACCATTACGACGATCGCGTGTACGTTTCGACGGAAAACGAAACGAAAATGGATCCACGCGGACGAACGTGCGTCGCCGATATTAAGATAACGCGGCGATCGTCTCAATCGCGAAACGGCGTTTCCAAGAATTCCCAAGAAACGCGTATCACTGCTCGCATTGCGCGCAATAAACAGCACCGATCGGCAGAACGGTGAAACGAGCAATCGCGGACATTACTGTCACACGTTCGTTCGTTCGGCGTCGACCTTCTTCGAACGTCACCGACCACTCCCGATTACGATCGAGCGTTACCGAGCGTTTCCGACCGGTTCCGAGCGTTCCCGAGCAGTGCCGGTACGTATGGAACCTACATCGGCGAATCGTCCGAACGCAAAGTAATCGCGACGAGTCGCCGAATTATACGAGGATCGGATCTTGTCTCTGCACGACAACTTTGGCTTGCAACATCTACCGAATAGAAAAATCCGTTACATTCCATGCCATAGAATAGATTTATTTGGAGCACGATACGATACGACACGATACGTTGTCGCCGTACTGCGCGCGAGTTCTGTTGGAAGCAAGAAACGATCGGGTGTCGTGCACCGAGAGACGAAAGCATCATGGAATCGTTTCTTTCCGCGTCGAAAAAAGCTTTGGTAAATTACGCTAAATTCTGATATTTATCCATCGAAAACAGAGCCGAAAGAGAATAACAAGACGCGCGTGGCGACACCTCTCATTAACCGAATCCGACAAACGCGTCTCCTCTCGCATTGCTTACGTAATACGAGTATGTTTACAAGATATGCATGGAAACGTATGTTTGCAACTGAATCTGTCGCGTTCGATTGCGCGCCGCGATTGGTCGAGCGCGCGACTGCTCTAGCGACAACACTGCTCGCGCGAAAAGTTGCTAGACGGAATTGTCCAGACGTAGCGTGGGAATGCTGTTTTCGAGTTACTAGCGCGAGGGGAGTCAGTTTCGCGCGACGTTCGAACGCGAAAGGGAAATACACTGCGAATCGTTCGATTTCTAGGCGAATTTGCCACAGCTGCGGAACGTCTGTATCGTCCTGGGCAATGCCACCTGCGACCTGGATTCTGCCGTATCTGCCCTGGTTCAAGGATTCTCCGAACATCTAAACGCGATCAAGAGGAACGAAACCGATCTTGTGGTAATTCCGTTGTTGAATATACCGGAGAAAGAATATCGCGTAAAGACGGAAGTGGTGTACTTTTTAAACCGCCACGACATCCCTTCGAATTTATTGACGTTTCGGTGAGTTGCGAGTTGAAAAGTATCAACTGGAAATCGGTCTTCCGTTTTCCGTTTTTCGTTTCCAGGGATAAGATAGATTTGATAGCATTAAGGAAAAACGACGTTACGCGGCTGGAAATCGTACTCGTCGATCACCACACCCTTTCGGAAGAAGACGCTTTTCTAGCGGACTGCGTGATCAAGGTTATCGATCATCGACCGCGCGACGCAAATTGGCCGTGGTCCGGTAAAACCGTTCAAATAGAGACTGTGGGAAGCTGCGCGACTCTGGTAGCGAGGGATTTCCTTGCCGCGCATCCGGAATTCGTGGATTCGCTTCTGTCGAGCCTTTTACGAGGCAAGCTGCTACGGCTCGCGTTATCTTGTATACATTAACCGAGCAGAACACGAGCACCAACAGTATCAGATATTTGTCAACAGGTCCGATCTTGCTCGATACTTGTAACTTGTCGAAAGAGGCTGGTCGCGCCACTTTGACCGACGTCCAAACGGTGGAAGCCCTCGAACGAATCGGTTCTTCGATTTCCCAACGAACCGTCGTGTTCGACGAATTGCTCCGCGCAAAAACCGATACGAGTGAATTGAGTCTCGACGATCTTTTGATTCGAGACCTCAAGATCGCAGCACGAGTGCCGTTCGTTGGATTGCCTATGTTAGTCAGGGTAAAGTGTCAATTCCCTTTCTTCGTTTCTTCCGGGGACTGCTTCTAATTGGATTCGATTCCAGAAATTCCTCGAGTTCGAAGGAGCGTTGAAGATTCTCGAACATTTCGCCGATAGCAGAGGTAACGCGATCGTTGTTTTGCTCGGAATGTTGGTCGAGGGGCACGAGATCGAAAGAGACGTTGCCATTTATTCCCTGGCCGGTAGCGCAGACGCTGAAAAGGTTTGTAATCGTAAGAAACGTTGCGTCTGTGTCGATGAAAGCCAACGGATCTACCGATTCATCGGCGGAATGTGCCTTACAGATTATACAAGCGCTTACGCAGTCGACACGGCCAAACCTCGACTTGACCTTCCGATTATCCGTTCGAGACCCGATCAAGCAAAAATGGTGCTTGGCGTTGTACGACCAGGGAAACGTTCGCGCCACGCGGAAGCAAATACTACCGATCGTTCGGGACACGATCGCGTCGCAATGTTCGCGTCGATGAATATTCCTTTCCTCCCTTCTTAAATACGTAACCTGTTGGCCAGGATCTCAATCGTTACACGTACTCGCGTGTTTTTCTTATTAGATCTTTCTAATGCATCGCATTGCGTAAAAAACATTACGGTGCATTATACACACATTAATAAATAAACGGTCAAAATAATAATATATATATATATATATATATTTTTATATATATATATTTAGAAAGAAATGGACACACTAACGGCTAAATTGAATGAGAAGCGATGCACGATAGATTACGATAGATTTCAGATAGATACAAGAAACACGTAACAGTGATAAATGTCTTTTGGACAGTTGGAAGACTGTACGCGTTTCTCGATCCAGCCATTGTTACGTATTTGGATAACGCGATCAAGCGTTAGCGAGAAGGGAAAGGCTAGCCTGCGACAACAGTTTCTCGAATGAAGCGGCAACCTCCTCCGCCAACCGCTTCTCCCACTCTCGGAGTCTCCTCTCCTGAAACCGTTTCACCACCGCGATACGGTGGATGTTGTCGAACAACCCTCATAGGTACCAGCACGGAGTTGCGCAGAGTTGTGCGGAGATGCGCGTGCACCGGGCTAATCGCGTCTCGAGGAAGCGAACGCGTTTAACGGAAACCTTCTCTCGAAACCGAAAAAACAGCCGAACAACGATACGTTCAAGATAAGAGAACAAGTTGTCGATGTATCGGTGATCGTATTTCATATTTCTATTCGCAGTGCTAGTATCGAATCTATTTATTCTTTTTGTGTTTGCGTTTCTTTCGTCGTTTCGCATGGAATCGAATCGAGTCGAATAAAAAACGTCCGATAATGAAATTTCTACGTCTTTCGAACATGCCCAGTATATTAACGCCACGATCCGTTAAGAATGGGAGTTGTCGATTGTAGGAGGTAAGCGAGAAGAATGCGAATAGGTGGCATTCATTTGGAAAGTTTGATCGGTTCGTTGATATTACCACGCGGTTATCGTTGCTCGTCGGGAAATTCCAAGACCAACGAGTGTCGCGGGCAGTGACGACGAGTTGTTTTTCAACCAAGTGTAAAGTGCCGCATTGCTGTTAATAGAACCGGAAGGAATCTTGTAGCGTGTCGAAAAGATAGGAAAACTGATATATAAGGGAGATGTGTCTGGGTCGAGGGAAAAGACGGCTCTTTTCTGCGTCTCTGAAGAGAGATTCGTCTACCTTGTACTCTCGTACAAGGTGTCCGAAACAAGTAACACGAGCATAGTCCGAGTACCTAACCCAGAGTCTCTTCATTCTTACCGTCCCGCTGGTATTGATCGTGTTTTACTTGTTGCACGCATAGCAGAGCTCGACCCCGCGCGCATTCCCCGACCCCGACTCTCGGTTCCCAGCCCACAACCCGAAATTCTACAGCAACAGCCGAAATGGTCCAACCATTTTTGCTTTGATTCTCCGTTGGCGAATCCGATTAACGTTCAGCCGAACAACGACCGCGCCGAATCTTCCCCGAAAGTATTTCAACAGCTTTGTCGTGCGCGTACGTAACTCCGTTACTTGAAATTCAATGTCAAGTTTCTTTCCTGTAAGAATGCGCTTAGGAATGCTCGCGACCTGGCATTTTAACGTTCGAATTGGAAATAGTTGGGCGTCGACGGCTCGAATAGATGGTTCGGTTTCAGAGCAGAAGGGATGACAGGAAACTACTGAAACTAACATGAGCTGTAAATGCATCGAAACGAATGTCACGATCCGACGCGAAAATGTGCCGCACGCTGCTGACCGTTATCCCTTTGGCTTGGCTGGTCACCGGCTATTCTCCATCCACGGACGATTCAGCGAGAAATGTTTTCGGTGAGACAGATTCTGCCTGGCAATCGAACGAATCGCAAAGTTCCAGGCTCTCGAGGAAATTGATACGTGTCGCGCGTTTCAGGTGAATGCATCGTTCCGCTGGGTATGGAGGAAGGGAAGATACCGGACCACGCCATCACGGCATCCTCTAGCTACGAAAGCAAGTCGGTGGGCCCTCAGAACGCGAGGTACGTTTCATTCGGTTGGTTCGCGCGCCTCGGAGGATTACAGAGGCAGTACTGGTTACAGGATACGGCAAGAAAAGAACGGCGGGGCATGGTGCCCGAAAGCGCAGATCAGCGGCGCGATACGGGAATATCTGGAAATCGACTTGACGAGAAATCATCTGATCGCGTGGACCGAAACTCAAGGACGATTCGGGAATGGGCAAGGTCAGGAATACGCGGAGGCATTCTTTCTCGAGTACTGGCGTGACACCAAGTGGCATCAATACAAGAATTTGAAGGGTGACAGAGTTCGTGTCGTCGGTAAATTAATCGTGGGAGTCGTCCGCATTGCTTTCATATCCCTCGGATTTCCCTCGGATTTCCCTCGGATTTCCCTCGGATTTCCCTCGGATTTCCCTCGGATCGCATTCGCAATTCGATGCTTGGATTTGTCGTTTGTACTTTTCCAACTTTTCCATTCAAGCGCAAAGCGAGACGTCTCCTATAACTGTTCAGCGCGAACAAACTCGATTCTCCGATTTTCGAGAAAACCACCATCCAACGTAGCTTGACCGTTTCAGGTGTTGCGAGGAAATAGCAACACCTACCTCGTGGAGAAACAAAAGCTAGATTTGCCATTCGTCGCGAGCAGGGTGCGTTTCGTGCCGTACAGTCAACATCCCCGAACGGTCTGCATGCGGGTTGAAATTTACGGATGCCCGTGGGATCGTAAGTAGCGCGTCACGCGAGACAAGCGTGCCGCCATCGAATTGAAACCGGTTGTTCGCAGAATACGTCGCCAGGTACGTCGCTCCGCGCGGCTCGCGGCTCGGACCCGGAGGGTGCAACCTCGAGGACGCCTCGTACGACGGTGCCGAGACGGCGGAACTCGACTCCGACTCGATACTGCTCGGCGGTCTGGGCCAGCTGACGGACGGGATTTTGGGGGAGATTTCGGAAATTCTGTCCCCCTCGGCGAGCACCGATCGGCCCACGAATTGGGTTGGATGGTCCGATCGCGACGCTGTCCAATTGCTGTTCGAGTTTCAAGAATCACGGGAGTTTGAGAATTGCTCGATCCACGTGGCCCGTTTGCCGGAACTAGGAATAGAGGTTCGCTCTCGTTTCCACTCGTCTGTTCGTTCACCTTTCAGCTCGACGGATAGTGACCGTGTGTCGCCCGATGGCCTCCCAGGTGTTTTCTAGATTCCGCGTTTGGTTCTCCGACGACGGCGAAGACTACCAAACGTATCCGGAAATGTCGCGAACGATTAGCACAGAGGCCAGCTCGAGCACCGCTGGTGGCGCCGTTCTCTCGACGTCGATCGCACTGCGATCCAGAGTCGGAAAATTTGTGAAATTGGAACTCGGAGTTGCCGGGAAATGGCTACTCGTCAGCGAAATCACTTTCCACACGGGTATGCTCTTTAGATTTCAGTAAAGTTTCTTGTTCTTCTACTCGATCACCTACAACGTACCGTGTGCAGTCGCAGGTATCGAGAACCGCTCGATCGATGCGTATTCGTCGATCGGTCGGTCGTTTGACGAGGACCGAAATCAAACTGAATCGTGGACAAAGTTGTCCGACTCTATGGAAGGTACGATATCCGGTTTCAACGAGACGGAGATTTATAAAATTTTTAGAGACGACGGTTCGACTCTGGACGCTTTTCCCGTTGGAACTTTGCAAACTTACGTTGGCCTTGCCAGCGGACTGCTGACGGTGATTCTTCTCTTTCTAACTTGCACAGCTCTTCTAATTAAGCAAAGAGGTCGTAACAAAGTGGCTCTGCTACAAAAGCACACGGTTCTCCTTTGCGACTCGTCCTCGACTGGTATCGCTGTCAACCCAAAAGACGTGAAACTTCACAGTTCCATCGTGAACGGACTGTCTCTGATTCGCAAACCAATTGTCATAACCATGACCACCTCTGACACCTCTGTCGCCCCTGTCGCCCCCGTTGCCCCTGCTGCTTCGACCGTTGATTCTGCCAGCTCGCCAGCCACGATTGGTAATATATACGTCGAAACTGACTCGGCAAAGAATGCGGCGGCGGACCGCTCGGATCGTCCGGTAGTCGATGCTCGGTACGAACAGACTCGCCAGATGGTTCCCGAGGAGAATTTCATTCTCGCGGAGGCAAACCGCGCATCTGCGCGTGCAACCGATTCGTACGGTGAGTCTAGGTCTAGAGGAGAACCGTTCTCTCCCGAGAGGCTTCGCGTTCATTCGTCTCGTGGTCCGCTCGGCTTTCAGATTGCAAACGCAAGGTGAATTCGACGAAAAGCAAGTTGACCGGAATCGCGCCACCAGTTCCAGCGGCGATAACGGCTTCTGAACTCAAAAAAGTCACGCAGCATTCTCTATCGGGGAAAACGATTCGAAAGGTGCACGAGGGATATTACGCTGCGACGGATATATTGACGGTAAGACGTCGATTAAACGGAAAGAGTGTTGCACGCAAGAGAATGGTGACAATAAAACTGTAATTTCAGATAAAGAGGAAAGAGCTTTCTTCGATCGCGAGTCCGTTCACGCCGTTGCATGTCCGAGAGAAAAGTGGTAAAGTAACGTTGTCGCGTACCGTCGATACGCACAACGTGCGACGTATCTCTAGACACAGGTTACGGATTTTGGATACGCTCGGCGTGGGAAACTTTGGCTTGGTAAGAACGGTTCGGTCTATCGTGGACTCGAGAAACAATTGAACGTCCCGTGTTAACGCGAGATTCGTACGTGGCAGGTACATTTATGCGAGGCGAAGGGAATCGCGAATTTAGATACGGACTCTATAGAAAGTCGACAAACCGTGATCGTTCGATCTCTGTGGCGAGGTGTTGTTGACTCTCTGCGGTATGCTTCTTTCCTTTCCCTTTTCTTTCTCCACGCGTGTGCAATATTTCATAATCTAGTCGATGCTCGTAGAATCGACTTCACGAAAGATATGCTTGTCTTGGCGGCGCTCAAAGATCCACACGTGGCAAGGATGATCGCCTTCGTGGAAGAGGAACCGTTTGGAGCTGTATTCGAATATAGCGAATTAGGGGACTTGCCTACCTTTTTGGAAAACCAGAAAATCTTAATCGAGAACGAGACTGCTTTCAGGTTAACCGTTTGATTCTCATTCGATACGCAAAGCGACTGGCACTCACCGTTCACGTTGATCGACTAAAGTTTCATTGTTCTTTTTAGCTATAGAGATCGCTTGAACTTTGTCAAACAAATCGCATCCGGTATGAAATACCTCGAATCTCGAAATATTCCACACAGCGACTTGGCAGCCAGGTAAACCAACTTTGACTACCGAACCGCAAACATTTTCTTTCTTCTCCTTCTCTTTCTACGAATGTCCAGCAATGTCGCACACGGGCGTGTTGATCGATTCCTGTTGTATATCTTAGGAATTGTATCGTCGGCCAACATCTGACAATAAAGGTGTCCGATCACGCGGTGTATTGCGGCAAATATGATCACCATTATTATATGGACGTGTACAACGGAAAAATTCCTCTTCGTTGGATGGCATGGGAGGCGGTTATATTGGTAACGAAAGATGGTTCATTTATGCTTTTATTTTGCATCTGTACTGTCCGATATTTACTTTGTACTCGTCAACTGGGATTGTCTGTCCCGTTAATCGTGTAGCCTACACTTTATCTCAGTTTTTCCTTCCCGGTCAGAGTATGCGAAGCTGTCGAGCGGACGTTTGGTCGTTCGGCGTGACTATTTGGGAAATATTTACAAATTGCAACGAAATTCCGTATTCGGAAATGACGGTGGAACAAGTTTTCGAAAATCACAGGCGTTGGTATCGCGAGGAAACGTGGACTGTAAATGAGAATGGAAATGGCAACG